GCCCGCCGGCCCCCCCCTGCCGGTCCGGGAGCATTTAACCATGTAACCGGTCGCAATTCAATCGGCTGCACGTGCAGCGGGAGATTTAAAACCATTTTACATCCCTAGTCCTGCCACGACTGGGCGAAGCCCCCGGCCGTCGCGGGGCCCTGCCGCTCAGAGAGCACAAAGCGAACGCACCCCTCCCCCCCATGGGGGCTGATGCGTGCCCAACCCCCCCACCGCTGCGCTCCGTCCCCCTGTATCTAGGCCGGTCGGGAGCCCTGGAGAGCAGGTGGAGCCTGCAGCTCTCACCCTGCTGCCTCCTAGGTCGGAGCCCCGAATGCTGGTGCCCGGGGCTGGCTAAGGGGGGCCCCCCGGGGCTGGCTAGGGGGGCCGTTGTCATCACTAGACCCTCAGCCCTCAGCTAAGGCTGCATGTTCCCCAGCCGGCCACTGCCCCTTCCCTGAAATCTGGTGTTGGGCTCCGCCTCTCTCCCTTTGTCTCCCCCTGGGAATCCCGTTATCGCCTCAGGCGGAGCCCAGGTGTCTGGGTTAATCCACATTTGGGTGAGGCAGTGGCTATCACACATCCCAGCGCAGGGGGACCCCGGGTTACAGAGCAGACAGCCCCCCCACTACGCCACACTCCGTGACTCAGTTTCCCCGTGCAAAGGGTGCCTAATAACGCCCCTTCCTCCTCTTTCCTGGAGCGATGCGCTGGGCGGGGGTGTCTCTGGGGGGCAGCAATGTCGGGGCGCCGTTCCAATAAAGCCGCCAGCAGCTCTGGGCCTTTGTGTGTCTCCTCTCAAGGCCACACCATCGTCAATAAGTCCCCCGATGCTCCTGTCACCCCACCTATTACAGCGGGGAAACTGAGGCCTGCCCAAGCTCACACAGTGAATCGGGGGGGGCAAACCTAGGAATCCTGGCTCACAGCTCCCCCTGCTCTAACCACTAAGCCCCACCTCCCCCCACCATTGTGATGTCCCGCCGCGCTGCGGAGCTCCCTGCCAGGGCCACGTGTCGCCGAGGCAACGGGGCGTGGACATTCTGCGGGGCAGGCCCCGGGGGG